TTAGCTAGGTTATTTTTAGGTTTTTATATTATTGTTATTGTTATTCTTCCAATATAAATTTTCACACTTTAGGGGAGTTCTTGGTGGTGAATCTTTTATTTTGAGACAAGGTCTCACTACATTGTCGAGGCTGGCCTTGAACTTTATTTATTTATTTTTTTGGTAACAGAGATTGAACTCAGGACCTTGCTCTTGTGAGACAGGAGCCACTCCACTGAACTAAGTCCCTGGCCCTGGCCTTGAACTTTTGATCCTCTTGCCTTAGCCGGCTGAGTGGCTGGGATTATATGCATGCACCACCATGCCCAGCATTTTCACACAATTTAATCTATCAAATACTCTATCCACTCCATTTTTTTTCTTCTCTCCTGAAGGCTTCTAGATCCAATATGGGTTGGTTGTTCTTTGAGCCTGCCATGCAGTTATTCTCTTCATTTTGTCTCTCTCCTGTGCTAGGTCCCATTATCTGGGTCTCAGCTTTTTCTCTCTCAGTTTGGTTCCCATTTTGGAGAACATCTTACACTAATTTTCATTTCTTTGTTTCATTTTGCAGTGCTGGAGATCCAACCTAGGGCCTCAAGCATGTTAGGCAAGCACTCTGGCACCCAGAGTTCAGGCTTGCCTTGGACTTTTAGCAATCCTCATGCCTCAGCCTCCAGAATATTGGGATTCTAGGCATATACCACCATGCCCAGCAGGATGAAAGTGTAACAATACCTTGTATGTCTAAAGATACCTGTATTCTATGTGGTTGAAAAACGTGGTTAGCTATACGGCTTGGTAATCACTGTGTCAGAAGAGTGAAGGCATTGTTTCAGCTTCCAATTTGAGAAAAATCAGTATCATTCTGATCTCCAAAGCTTGTATATTATCATGGCAATTACAAGCATAGGTCAAGTCAGACTGTCATGGCATGACCTTGGATTAAAATTATCTATCGTCTTAATGAGGATTATACCAAAGGCCTTCACACTGAGTTACCTATTCAGCCCTTTTTAAAACTTGAGGCAAGATATCACTAAATTGCCCAGACTGGGCTGAAACTTGTGATCCTTCTGAGCCAATGAGATTACAGGTGTGTGCCTCTGTGCACAGCTGACCTTATGAGCAAGGAGACCACCCCTCCACATGGCATCGGGCAACTCTGAGTTAACCATGCTACTAGGCAACTACAGGTTACCTGGGGTAACTGTGCTCTCTGTAGAACACCTGAGCAGCCATGACAACTTCTGTCCTGTCACAAAGGAGCATGGCCACTTAGAAAATCCTGCCAGAACTTTTGCTGTCCCCTCTCCACTGCTCTGCTCTGTGTGAATCCCGCTTGCTGCATTCCCAGGGTAACTCCAGTGGAATTAAACTCCGTAGATGTAAAAAGAGGTTTATAAGGAAGCGCAAACTTAGATTCGAAGCTCTTGAGACTGACAGGAATCACTCACTGAGCTTCTGGCGTCATTAAAAGCATTTTTAGGACCAGGGATTTAGCTCAGTGGTTCTAGCACTTGCCTCGCAAGCACAAGGACCTGAGTTCGATCCCCGGTACCAAAAAAAAAAAAAAAAAAAAAAGCTTTTTTCACTCCTGTCTCTGTGCTAAAGTTATCTATGCCAGGGTCCTGTTTCCAGATTCACTTAGACAAAATTTTTTTTTTTTAAGATTTTTTTATTTGTTTGCTTTTGTTATCAGGGATTGAACTCAGCTCCTTGGGCTTGTGAAGCAGGTGGTGGAACCACTGAGCTAAATCCCTGGCCCTCAAATTTCTTTTCAAAGTAAATTTTATTTTATTTTATCCCATTCCAAATTTTTTTCTTTCTTTTTCTCTTTTTCCTCTACTGGAGATAGAACTCAGGTTCTTGTGCTTAATCTCCCTGCACCTCAGTTTCCTCATTTGTAAAGCAGGGATGTCGAATTAACACATATAAAAGCACTTAAGTGTTTGGCACAGAGTATACACTATGTAAACATTATTATTGTTGTTATTAGGGTCTCTTTCTCGAGCATATTGAAATTTAATAAAATTAGACTTAAAATCCACTACGCTGAAAATTCAAAAGGTATGTGACTTGTAACTTTTCGGACTTAGAGAACTTTTTTTTTTCCTTGTGGTACCAGGGATCAAACTTAGGACTTTGTGCTTGCGAGGTAGGCAAGGCATCACTGAGCTAAATCCCCAGCCCAAGAACCCAAGAACTTGTATTCTTTAGCTATTTTCTTTTTTCCACTTGCTTTTTATGTTTATAGGCTCATGTATGCTAAGCAGACCCCATTGAGCTATATCCTTCTTTCCAATTGCTTCATTATCTGACCCCTTGCTCATTGAATTTTATACATTCTCTTTTATTTTGTACATCTTTGTGTCCTTGTTCTATTTTCTGAGAAACTTCTTCAACTTGATCTTCTTACTAAATTTGAAAATTGGCTGGGCATGGTGGCACACACCTGTAATCCCAGCACTTGGGAGGCAGAAACAGGAGGATTACTATGAATTTGAGGCCAGCCTGGGCTACACAGGAGTTGAGGGCCAACCTGAACAACAAAGTGAGACCCTGTCTCAAAAAATAAGTAAAAAAATAAATAGGGCCAGGGATGTAGCTCAGGAGCACAACACCTACCTAGTAGGCACCTAGCCATGAATTCAATTCCTGGTACCAAAAATAAATAAATACATAAATAAAAATTTAGCTTTCTATATTCTAGGCAAGGATTTTATTTTATTATTATTTTGAGACAGGGTCTCACTGTGTAATTGAGACTGACCTGGAGCTCACAATGTAGCCCAGGCTGGTTTCGAACTCACAGTGATCCTCCTGTCTCAGCCTCCCGAGTGCTGGGATTACAGGTATGCACCACGACACTCAGTTTTGCTTTCTATATTCTAAATGTATTGTTCTCTTACTATTAACATTTTGTGGACGCTTTCCTCTTCTACTTCCTTTATTGTCTCTGCTCTAAGTTTTTGTTTGCATTAACGTCTTTCAAGTTGAAAGCTTGCCTCAAATGTTGGGAGATCCTTGATTTCTCATATTTAAAATGAAACATAAAATACTTAATATAAGCTGGGCACTGGGGTGCACTCCTATCATCCTAGCATTACAGAGATAGAGGCAGGAGGATTACAAGTTTGGCAATTTAGTGAGACTCTGTCTCAAAATAAAAATAAGTTAAAAGGGCTGGGATGAAGCTCCATGGTAAGGTACCCTGGGCTTAATCTCCAGTACTGGGGGGAAATGTTTAATGTGCTAAGTGACTCTTCTCTACTTGGAGGCATCACAGTAGTGATTCGCACTGGCAGAACCCCAAATAATGCTTCTGAGAATGAATGCTCATGTTCTTCAGAGGGTCATCTCTCTCACCTATGCTAGGCAGGGGGTTTGTACAAACTTTTTTCTGGGGGTGTGGAGCATTACTGGCAACTGAAGCCCCAGCCAGGATTTTAAATTTATTACTTTTTTTTTCTCAGCACTGGAGATTGAACCCAAGGCCTCTGCCTTAAGCTACAACTCTAAGCCTTTTTAAAAATTTTGAGCAGGGGATGTAGCTCAGTGGTGCAGTGCTTGCTTGGCAAGCACAAGGCCCTGAGTTCAATTCCTGATAGCTCCCTCTGCCCAAATAAATAAAATTTTGAGCAGGGCATGGTGCTGCATGCCTGTAATCCCAGCACCGAGTAGGATCAGTCTGAAAAACAAACAAACAAAAAACAAAAACAAATTTTTTTTTAGACAAGGTCTTACTAAGTTGTTAAATTGTCCAGGCTGGGCTTGAACTTCTGATGGTCCTGCCTCAAACTCCTTAAATGCTGGGACGATAGAATGCGCTACTATGCCTGGCTTCTGGCCAGGATTTTTAGCAGCAGAGAAAGGAGTTCAGGGCAGCCTATTCTGTGTTCAGTCAAGCTCTCTCTCCTTTGTTGCACCGTGTTCCTGATATCCCTTTTCCAGGACAGGTGAGGCAATCACCTGGCTGTAACGGAGGGTTGACAGGATAGAGAGGTCTGACTCTGCAGACACTTCCAAAGGCTTGTTTTTAGCCCCACCCTCCTAAATGCTGTGTCTCCAGAGCACAGCGCCTTGCTTGGCATTCCAAAGTCCCACGGCTTCTTCCATTCTATTAGACCAGTTACCCCTTTTCTACCTCCTTTGCGTCTTCTAAGAATTGTCAACACCTTTCTTTTGCTATACCTCTCCCACCCCTTAGTTATGGACTTTGTCTATTCTGAGTTCTTTTGTCTCATGAAAGGGAAAGTATAAACCTAAACCTAGATATTAAATCTTTCCTGGTCTAGGGCCAGGAAAAACACCTTCCACTCCACTTTGCTGGAAATGTATCAACGATCTTTTATAAGAAGACTATAAAAGAAGCCAGGCCAGGTGGTACACACCTGTAATCCTAGCACTCTGGGAGGCTGAGTCAGGAAGATTATAAATTCGAGGACACCCTAAGCAAATCTGTGAGTCTGTCTCAAAATAAAAAAGAACTGGCAAGGGTTACAGGTATAGTTCAATGGTAGAGCACTTGCCTAGCTAGCATGAACAAGGACCTAGGTTCTATTGCCAACACCACAAAACAACACAAACGGCTGTGATGTAGCTGTGTTCCCTGGGTTCAATCCCCATTACAGGCAGTGGGGTGGGGTGGAGGTGAAGACCAGAGTCCAAATTCCAAAGAACCAATCAGGCCACTGTGTTCTCTCTTGCATGGTGGCCCATCCTCAAACTTTAGGGTATACATCTTTTTCTACTTTTTACTTGGCCCAAACTCCATCTGCAGAGGTTGTTTCTTTTCTTACCTCTAATAAAACTTTGCTACCATTAAAAAAAAAAAAAAAAAGCCGAGCATGGTGGCACACACATATAATCCCAGCACTTTGGGGGCTGAGGCAGGAGGATCCCCCGCAGTTCAAGGCCTGCCTGAGTTACATAAAGAGACCCTGTCTTGAAACGCGCACACACACACACACACACACACACACACACACGTGCACACACACAGAACGAAACAGCCAGAAGAGATTTCCAAGTCTCTTTTTAATTTAACTAGAAATCACTCTTTAATTTAATTAAATCAGCAGGAGTTTCAGCAAAAGACTTAACATCTTAATAACCACCAAGACCTGGGCTCTGGGGCTTGTTCTGCCTCTCCCAATCCTTAAAGGGGTTTAGAGGGAAAGACATCATTAACAGAGACCAAGTCAGGTGGCTGCAGGTCCTCTTTCCCAGTCATTGGACAAGCTGCTCAATTCTTGTCCAGAGCAGGAAAGAGACAATTCCTTAGAAACATCTAACAAACAATTTGGCATTACACCATAAGATCGCTCGTAACAATTCAAATTTATCAACAGTATTGGTCCAAATTTGCTTCTAATTTTTCATCTTTCAAATCTCTTGTGTAATTTTAATAACCTCACTCCCTGTGCAGCAATAAATCAGCCCAGTGCAAAGGAAAATCCCTCAAACTGGTATAGCCTCGTCTGGCTCTGGAAAGAGGAAACAAGATTTTCTTGTTTCTCATTCACCCAAGAGGTGAACACATGTCCCCCCAAGTTCAAAATGTAATTTCTGGCCTTGGAATGTACACACAGGCAGATTTGGATGGGCTCATTTAAATTCTCTAGAAAAGGATAGCTGAAACCACTACACAGGTAGCCTTCTTTGGAAATTGCTTAAAATGAACTCTTGGGAATCGCCCAAGATTGTATACAAAGGTGCTAAGGTCCCAGTAACTTCTGCTATTCCAGTTCATGAGGTACGCTCAGAAGAGGCGCTGGAATTATCAAGGGCAAGAGCAGGAGAAGCAGCCCCACGAGGTAGAACCTCTATAACTCGAGGCTTGTCAATGATACGAGCTGTCCGGTTTCCTTTTTCCACAATGCCGACAATCCATGCTTGGTGACCCTCACCGTACTTGGAAGATTTGATTTCTGAACAAAAGCGGGCTGCCTGTTCTCTTGGCAGACAAATCAGTAATCCCCCAGAGGTTTCAGCTGAGGTTCCCTGAAGGAGTCCAAACCGCCCACTGGCCTTGCTGATAGCAGCCATCTTGGCAATGATTGGCAGATTATGAATGACAAATGACACCTCATTTCTCTGTTGTTTAGCGAGGTTCTGAGAGTGTCCTAAAATGCCAAAGCCTGTGATATCGGTAGCTGCGTGGGCATTGAACGTGTGCATCAATCCAGCAGCAGTTCTGTTTAGGGTAGCCATGTTGAACATAGCCTCCTGATAAGCCAGCTCTACTTCTTCTCTGGAGACCACCATGTTTATCTTATCCCATCTCTCAGGATTATCCAGCCACTGGTGGGCATTGACTGCAACCTGAGTTCCTAAGGGTTTGGTTAACACAAGTACATCCCCTACAACTGCGCTGTCGGGCATTATGAATTCATTCGGCTGACATACCACAGTGGCAACTCCACCGATGATAATCCAAGGGTTGACCACGGTCTGCCCACCTGTGACTGCAGTTCCTCCCTCCTCAGCAGCATCCCGGAAACCTTTGATCATGAGCGGCGTTACCTTTTCTCGCTCCTCCTCATTCATACTCTGGCTGACACTGAGCAACATTAACATGTTGTCACATTCGGTGATGCCCATGGCGTAGAGGTCACTCAGCACGTTGGCACAAGCTATCCGCCCCATCATATACGGATCTTCCACCAAGGGGTAGAAGAAGTCGGTGGTCTGCACCAGCGAAAGGCCCCCGTGTCTCAGGGGGATGACGCAGGAGTCCATCCCGATGCTCAGGGACGGCGAGGGCGGGCTG